AGTCGTGAAAGATTCGGGGGGCCCACCCTTGTCCGGCCAAGCCAAAGCCAAGCATTGTACTAAAAGCAAACTTTAAGTTTTGCGTTGGGGGAAGTTCTGGGTCGAAAGGGCCTGTCATTTGTTTGCAGATCTTTGGTGAAGTGTTTGGGGCCTCCCCGCTCCAAATCGTGAAGGGTTGGGGGGGCCCCCAATCCTCGTCCGGCTAAGCAAAAACCAAACATTGCAGGAGCAAAATTTGGGCTTTGCGTTTTGGGAAGTTCTGGGCCGAAGGGCCCCATCATTGGTTTGCCGATCTTTGGGTTTGTCCAAACAAAATTTGAGGTTTGCGTTGGGGTAAGTTCTGGGCCGAAGGGCCCTGTCATGGATTTGTCGACCTTTGGCCTCGAAGCCCTGTCCAAGCAAAATTGAGAACTTTGGGGGGGGTCCCTTGTCCACTTAAACGCCGCCTCAAGTCGTGAAGGGTTGGGGGGGGCATCCCTTGTCCATTTGGCGGGCGCCTCATCTCGTGAAGGGTTGGGGGCACCTCGAGATTCGCAGCCGGTTTTCATTAAAAGGCATATTTTATGAACAGAATTTGTCACTTGAAAATCACCATCAATTTCCCAAATTTCCGGAGGCAAAAATGTAGAAAATCTGAATTTAAGAGCTGGTTGTCCTTTTCCGACAAGGACAAGCGCGACTAAATGTAGAAAATCTAGGATTTAGAGCTGGTTGTCCTTTTCCGAAAAGGACAAGCGCGACTAAATGTAGAAAATCAAGATTTTAGGGCTGGTTGTCCTTTTCCGAAAAGGACAAGCGCGACTAAATGTAGAAAATCTAGATTTTAGAGTTGGTTGTCCTTTTCCGAAAAGGACAAGCGCGACTAAATGTAGAATATCTAGATTTTAGAGCTGGTTGTCCTTTTCCGAAAAGGACAAGCGCGACTAAATGTAGAAAATCTAGATTTTAGAGCTGGTTGTCCTTTTCCGAAAAGGACAAGCGCGACTAAATGTAGAAAATCTAGATTTTAGAGCTGGTTGTCCTTTTCCGAGTCGTGAAGGATGCTACCCCCGACCCGCGAAACCAAAATCCTAGGGTTTAGGGTTATAAAATATATATCAGTGACTAGCTAGGCGACTCTAGCTTGGCGACCCCTCAGGGGTGCGCCCTGCAGGCTCTGCAGCCTAGCAGAGCCTGCCATGGTCTCGCTGCCGCTCGACGTCGCCCGCCTACCCCAACAGAAGTGAAAGGGGTGGCGGGCGGGTTTAGGGTTTAGGGTTTAGGGTTTAGGGTTTAGGGTTTAGGGTTTAGGGTTTAGGGTTTAGGGTTTAGGGTTTAGGGTTTAGGGTTTAGGGTTTAGGGCGTCTCGCCGCGCAGCGGCAGTATTTTCTATGTAGGATGGCGCCCCAACACTCCCAGGGGTGTGGAGGGGCGGCATATCGACGTCTAGCGTTCGAATGCGATTCCACCACCAAACAATTACACATTGGTTCCTCACCTTTTCCCACCCGCTGTGAGAATACACAGGCTACCACCCAAAACATTGCCTTTTAGGGTTTAGCGCTTACGCCCTCAATTCCCACCTGCCCCTGGTCTGTCTTACCTACACACGCCACAAAACAGATAAGGTCAGGGCCAATGGCAAGGGCCAGGGGAGGGCCAAGGGGGGCTAGGGGCGGCTAGGGGGGGCCAGGGGGGGCCAGGGAGGGCCAGGGGGGCCAGGGGGGGTGGCAGAAAGCCAAGGAAGGGCAGAAAACGCCAGGTCTCCCCCTAGGACCCGCCAGGAGCCCGCCGGGTCCCTGGAATCTGCCAGCTGAGGGGGCCCCTGGGCCGGCCTCTGGTGCCTTTTCTGAGGGGAGCCAAAGGGAAACGCCCACCAAGGGATTTGGTCGTGGGGTTTAGGGTATTCTAATCTCTTGAGATTCGAGGGAATTCCCTCTGCGAATATGGGCGCCACGCAAGGGGCCTAATGGCTTGGCTCAGCCCTAGGGGCTGAATTCGACCACTCTCCAATGGCTCCACCCATTGTCCATCCAGAGTTGGTGTCAATCACTGCCGGATTTCCTTCTTGGGTCCAAGCACCCTAAGAAAAAGGGTGGGTACGGCCTAAGCAGGCCTGGGTGGGAATTTAGGGTTTAGGGTTTAGGGTTTAGGGTTTAGGGTTTAGGGTGTGTCCATCGTGTTCGCTCGCTCGGGTGTAAAGCACCCCGAGCCGCTCGCTCCAGCGTAGCTAAGTTTTTCCCACCCTCGCCCCACCCAGACTCGACTCTTTTAGGGTTTAGGGTTTCTACCCCCCAACCCCCCTATCAAGGGGGGTTACCCGCAAGAGCCAAAGCCAGCAGCGAAGTACGTGGTGGGGGCGTGCGTGTCTAGTTCAGACATAGGATGCGATAATGTCGTGGTGATGAGTAGATAAGGTTGAATTCTTGAGCTTAGTGTAGTTAGTCGATAGCTGCGTGATAATGTCGTGGTGATCAGTACATAAGGTTGAATTCTTGAGCTTAGTGTAGTTACTCGAGATAGCTGCGTGCCACCGTAGCTATCCTGAAGCGACTTCGCGTGCAACAATTAATTTTGCTTTGTTAAGAATAAATTAAATATGGCTCGGAGTTGCAGGAGCCGTTTCGGTAAGGAGGCATTAACAAGATATGGTTGGCTCGGAGGTCGCGCCGAGTGAAGCTGATCATGCCATAGGATCCTTTGGGGGAATGCAGGTACCTGCAGTTATATAGCATGATTCGATTCGGAGCACCGTCTTCCAGCCACCAAGCCTTCGTTGAAAGAGGGTTGTCGCACGCAGTGAAACGTCTCTTCGGAGCCCGTCGTAACGGTAGCGAAGCATTTTGCCATTGCAGCAGACGAGGTTTTTTGAATCGAAAGGACGAATGTGCGCTTGCACGAGGCGTAACGTGAATCATCGTAAGCAGGGACAGACAGGAGAATAGCCGACATGGACGTGCAGTCCATGCAAGGGCGTTTTTTATCTGGGAGCGAGGGTTGTGGTCTGTAGCCGGCTTGTCATGCGAAGCAGCTCTGGCACGCTTCACATCGCAGGTGTGAAATGGTGCGGGCGGATTTTGCCAGCGATAAGATAGTCCTCGTCATGTCGCACCCGACTCAGCGCCACATACCCCGCAGCCCGGCAGCAGGGCCGGTCAAGCCAAAGCGTAATATGCTTCAGCGTTTGCCCTTGTACCTTTTGCACGGTCGAAGCGTACCCCAGGCGGAGCGGGAAGTAGTCCACGTCGTGAGTGCCAACGCGCTCACGAACAGCGCTCACGGCAAGCCGCTTGCCAGTGTCGGTGAGCACGGTTAGACAACCACTACGCTCGTGATAGTCGAGTACCTTGCAACCCATGCCATTCACAAAGTCTTGTCTCTTGTTCAAGTTCTTGGTAAGGAACACACGCATGTCCTTGTACACCCTGGTGGGCATGGATTTTGGCGGAGCATCAGAGCACAAAGTGCCATCTTGCGTGTAGTTGCCTGGGTCCATTTCCCAATCGAAGGGCAGCTCTCCTAGGGGCGTCTGGTGCCGGTGCCTGAACAGCACATCCACCGCAAGATCGTTCAGCGTCTGCGCGCCCTTCCTGGTGCACGTGACCATGGATGTTGCGTAGTCTGTCCTTCGAAACACCTCGAGGACGTCGTAAGCAGTGGGCTCGGCGTCGGTCCAAGCGCGATGGGCTCGGTTGGCAATCTGTTTCAACAGACGCTTGCTAGGAACAGCGGTTCGCAGAGCTGCAAGCTTCTTGGCCAGGCGCGCATCTTCGCAGCGGTGCATAGTGTTGAACATTATCTGCTTGACACCGTTCCATGCCTGGCTGTCTGACACTTTGCTCGGCGGCTGCTGCGGCCCGGGCAAATCACCAAGGAAAACCATGCAGGGCAAGCGATCCGCTGCACGCCACATAGTGTCCAGACGATCGAAGTGCTCGCTGGTGAGCATCGACAACTCGTCCACAATGACCAGGTCGTAAGAGCTGAGGATGGGCAAGGCTTCGGAGATTTCTTTATGGAACAAGAATGCACCGTGGCATGTGTCCACATCGATATCCGGATGCAGGCGTCGCATCTGAGCGGCTAGCTGTCCCGTGGGCAAAGCGAAAAGAATGCGGGCCCCTCGCGCATGCCACCGCCGAATGCAAGCATGAACGGCACTAGTCTTATAAGATTTGTTCGGCCACAGACTATGGGCCAGCTTAAGCATTTATTTTGTACTTGGGGTTGCATTACTTTTGCATGTGGGTTTTGCGTTTTTTTTGCTGTTGGATTTTGGTTGCGTTTTTTTTGCATTTGGGTTTTGTGTTTTTTTTGCTGCCGAACTTTGGTTGCGTTTTTTTTGCATTTTGCTTTTGCGTTTCTTTTGCTTTTGGGGTTGGGATATTTTTGTTTTGTGCTCCTATTTTGCATCGTTGTGCTGTTTTTTTATTGGTGTTCTTGAGAATCGTGTTGCTTGGCAATGGGTTTCGATTTGATCTCTGCGCCTGTCTTGTTTGATTTGGCTTTATGCTCTTGAGTTTGCGTTGCTTGTTAGTTGGGCTTCAAGTCGTGACATATACTCGTGTCTTGTATTTTTGAGGCTATTGTTGATGAAGTACGGTGAACCCGCGACTAGGGTCTTGTCGTTCATCACGCAGGCGTACTTTTTCTATGCAGGTTCCGCACATACTTCTCTTTCATGTCCCTTGAGCATCCTGACCTGCCACACTCTAGTTCTTGCTGAGTTGCGCGCAATGCAGTGTTCATGTATGTATAGTATAGGCTTCAGTGCAGCGAAGTTGGGGAGACATACAATCAGCCCTCGCTCGCCTGGGCTCGATGCAGACAGTGTCTGTGGTCACCTTGCGGTATTGATCAGGGTAGCTGCCGGTAGCTCTGATGTTTGCACAGAGTTACCAGGAGACCAGGTCACTTGATATAAATTGGATCTGGGCATGCTAGACCTGACAGGAAGTTAGTTAGGGGCATGCACTTTCAGTGATCGCAGCACAAGGTTTTGAACTTTTTTGTGCGCAGCGATGGGCTGGACTGAAGCTTTCGAAGAGGAGTGTGAGCTTAGCCAGTCCACAGACCAGCAAGCGGCGGAGGCTTGCGATTCAAGGTCGGATTCAGGCTCCGAGGCTTGCGCCAGAGATTCCCGCGCCGTAAGCACATGTGGCAGCACTGCCAATGCTACTAGCGGATGCGAGGATTCAGGTTCGGGTGCCGCAGTCCCCAGTGGCCTAGCTTTGTGGTGGGTTCAGAAGCTGCACCTTGCTTCCCGTGCTTTGGGAGCCCAGCCTCTCCTGAGTGCACAGCGTCGTGGCACCCTCAGCGTGGTGTCATCCTGCACCGGCTGCTCTGCTGAAAGTGCGGTGCTCAAGGCGGGGAGCATTCAGATTGAGATTATCTGTGGGCTGAGTGGAGCTGACTGTCAAGATGCTGTGGTCAAATGCAACCTTGGAAGCAGGCTCTCAACGTTCCCTTCAAAGTCCTTTCCGCCTCAGAGCCGAACCGGGACTACCGCAACTTTTTTTTGGGCAACCACAGAGGCCTCTTCAAGCATGTGCATGAGAGGATTGAAGACCAGCTTCGGGACAGCGCATGTTGCCTGCACCCTGAAGCTCAGAGTTGTGCTGCAGTGGCAGAGCATGGCACAGTTGACTTACTGGTGACTGGAAGCCCATGCGACCCTTTCTCGGTTCAGCGCACCAAGCGTTTCAGTGAAGATGCTGTAAAGTCCCACCCGGACTTTGAGACGACCATGTCTTCGGTAGTTGCTATGTACAAGAAGTATGAACCAAAGGTTGGAGTGCTGGAGCAAGTGAAGGGCTTCAACATGCCTTTCCATTCCGGAGCTCCCGGGACTCCGCTGGATAGGTGGGGCCAGCAGTGCTTTCGCTTGTCATGTCTAGTCTGGGAGTACAATTTTGCAGTGGGGTTAGAGGTGGAGGCCATAGCAGGCATGCGGGCAATAGCTCATGTAATTCCGTATTCGCGTGTGGTAATCGTGGGCCTGTGCGCTGATGGCTTTGCCGGGTTTATGTATGTATGCTGCTGGGTGACATCTTGAGGTCTTGGCAAGTTAGCTGGCTCGTGAAATAGAGTCTGGGTAGCGTAGGAGTTCTTTCCTGGAAGCTTGTGCAGCACTGCAGCAGTTGCCGTGGCGGAAATTTGGGTCATGCATGTAGCAGCAGCATCTGTCCATGCACTGAGGGCCACCGTGTTGCATGTAATCTAAAGTTTTTTTTGTTGCTCTTATGTGGGGGCCAGTGCAGAGCTCTCAGACATCCTGTGGTCTCCAGATGCATTGTAGGCTTCTGTGTATGCAGCACAGGGCGTCTGGACCATGTCATACCGCATTCCCAGTGTTCCTGTCCGGGTGATAGCTTCCAGTGTCCTGGTGGTCCTACTGATAGATAGTGGGGGGATGGTTGCATGTGGTCTGTTGTGGAGGTTGCTGGACCACATGGGTCGCTGTTCATGGCGACACGGCGGCTACTTCTTCGTCCAGTACCTGTTGGACGCCAAGGTCTTCCTTCGAATTACGCGGCCGAGGCTCCCGCTAAGTTGTGGCTCGTAGGATCTAGGAGGGGCTTTCGAGTCTTAGGTCCCGAATGAGAGCGAAGCGTGTTTTTTTCAACGGGGCTCCACGCATGTCCATTTTATCTGAAAGCACTAATTAGCTTGTTCAGTGTGTGGCTGTGATGAGGGTATACCGGGAATAGGAACCATCTCTCTAGGACTCTAGGCCCCCAGGCAATGCTGTTTTCGTGTGCAGTGTTTAAGGACTGTTTCTTGTTCTCGAGCCCTTTTGTGTCGGCAACAGGGGTTTCCGCACTCTCTGAGACATGGACATTTTTTTATAAGTAGTTCGTTGGGGCAGGGTTGGGCAAACCCTGGACCACATGTCTGTGTAGTGTAGCGTAGGTCGGTCGTGCAACTACGTAAGGCCAGCAAGGCTTTGCAAGGGCTTGGAGGTTTGCATTGTCATCCCAGAGCGATTTGCCCGTGGTTGTGCACAGGGGCGATCGAGGCTATGCTGACATGTGTGGTCTGTGTTGAACCCACGAAGCTTGCGATGTGGGCTCCCTTGTAGCTTTGTGACGGATGTACCCGCAGCTTGCCATTCAGAAGATGTTTAGGAGGCTTGAGTCTTAGCAGTCGCAAGAAAGATGGCAGTCAGTGCAAGAATGAGTGCCTACGGCTTGTGTCGTACTTACATGAGGGCTTCATGCTGTCGCTCACGGTTGCCGTGACATGGCTGGTCCGTTCCACGTCACGAGGCCCTGCTGCCGTGTACCTGCCTGGCGTGCCTTCGGAGAGCAGCAAGGGAGTACTACCTGTCAGCTAGCTCCCGGCTTGGAGTGAAATCTATGCCGTCTGGTTGGCTGGATGCACTGGACTCGGAGTTGCAAGAGTCCAGAGCCTCCCAGCGCTCCGCTGGGTCATGCGTGGAAGATGCTGCAGGGCTTGCTGGCAAAGCTACAAGTTCTGCTTCTGCCCGTTCCCGTTCGGCGCCTGTGCGTGGTCGGGGACGCGGGAGACCGGTGGGCAGCAATATGATGCGAGAGTTTCGGAAGCGCAAGGTTGAGCAGCACACCGAAGCCGAAGCAGAAGCATCGGATGATGAGGCCCCTGAGGCCAACTTGAGCCCGATTGAGAAGGCCCGGAAAGTTCTGCAGGAGAAGCGCGCTGCAAAGGCCAGTTCCTCCACAGCAGACAAGAGAGCAGCCGTGCAGTCTGGGGAGATTCAAGCATTTGGTGCTTTGCAGCATATGCAATCTGTTGGCTCCCTGGTTCAGCTAAACTTGCTGGCGGCTGCTGCTGAATCATCGCAGCAAACACAGGAGGACGAGGCTGGTGTGCTGCGTGCTCACTTGCGGGGCCGCTTGCTCACGACGCCTTGGAAGGCCCTTTCCAGCTTGTTCTCAGAGGCCCCTTCGACGGTGGCCTCCAAAGCCCGTTCTGTTGGTGCTGCTGTGGTGGAGCTTGGAAGCTGGCTTTGGTCGTCGATGTACTCGGCTATGCAGCCTTTGTATGATCCGGCTTTGCAGCCACCAGGCACTCGACCTCGGCTACGGCCTCTGATGTACGTCATGCGTTTTCGCTATGATGAAACCCCGTCAAAGGTTCGAGTGCTTACCACTGACAAGCATGGGACCGTGGTCGTGCCACGCCGTGACGCGACCTCTGCGCTGGCCGAAGTGTCTTCGGTTACCGAAGTGCTGACTGCAGAAACAGGAGCCGGCCTCGTTGCCAAGGGCAGCGCAGGAATGCGAGAGCTGGTTGAAACCTCCGTGCAGTCGAAGATTATCCAGTGCGAGTATTGTACTGGAATGCTATTGCAAGATCTGCAGTCAAAACAGTATTACTGGGTCTTTGGCGAATTGCCCACTTGGCTTATGGCAGTTGACCGCTGCACAGGAGAGAACACGCGCCGCTGCTTGATGGATGTGGTGCAAGCATCGCCGGAGATGTCAAGAATCTGGTCGTCTTTTGAAATCAAGCTTCGTGTTTCTACAACGGACCGCTTCGGCGCAAATGCTCGAGCCGAGGCGGGGTTGACTGAGAGCGATTTCATGCCGGCGTTCCGCTTCTCTCACATGCCTTGTGATGTCCATCGTCTGTCCACGGCTACGGGCTCGGCGGTGCTTCTTCAAGCTGCTGATGTCAGCGGTGTCCTTAGCACTGGTCTGGCATGCGGCTCCTTGGGATCTACTCGCAAATTACGCGAGATCCTGTCGCGCATCTTCATGGAGGAGCTGGACGTGGAGTACTCGAGCCCGCCCGTCTCCCAACAGCGTGAGCACATGCTAGAGCTTTTGCTTCCGGCGGATGCCCCGACGCGTGCTTTGCGCAAGCAGAACAGCATCCGCAAGTTCATCCTGCGGCGGTTCCTGATCCTTGGCCTGTTGGAGCAAGTGCAGCAAGTGCTTCCGGAGAGATGGGTTGTCATGTGTGGCACAATCGCGTTGAATAGAGATCCTTACTTATCACTTCTTGTGCTGTGTAGGCGGACGATGTCAGCCGTTTTAGGTAGGGGCAGCTAGGGCGAGTGTTCAGCGGATGCGGATTGCTGTAGTGACTGTAGTGGAAGTGAAGGCTTTTGTGTGGCACCGTAGCATGTCCTCCGTGTCAGATGACACCAGCATCACGAGTTGCTTTCAGACAACGAGACAGCAGCGGCGGCGTTGCCTAGGATCAGAAGTTCTTTCTTCTCTAACAGGGAGAGTGCCAGGGAGAGTGTCACAGAGAGCGAGAGCGACAGGGTGACAGAGAGAGAGAGAGAGAGAGAGAGAGAGACAGAGCCTTCAGCGGTTTAGCTGTCAGCAGGAGGCAGAGACAGAACTTCTAAACCGACTGCAAACCTGGTCTTTACGTATTCAGAGAAGGGAGATAGAGACAGGCAGGCAGAAAAACCGAGGGAGAGAAACAGAGACAATGAGAGGGAGAGAGACAGAGAGAGAGAGAGAGGGGGCAGGGAAAGAGAGAGAGAGAGAGAGAGAGAGAGAGAGAGAGAGAGAAGAGGCAGAATGCAGGAAAGAAAGGGGTTTGAGAGAGAGGGAGAGAGATACAGAGAGGGGGGGGGAGACAGACAGTGAGACAGAGAGGGAGAGAGAGAGAGAGAGACACGCACACTTACATGCACAGACACACAAACGCGCACACACACACACACACAGCTACACACCTCCCGGGTCGAGGAAACGACACAATTTTTGAATACAACGGCTGCGGCTGCATAAGATAAAGTGTTACTAGGGGCAGCACACACAGATAGCTGGCTAGCGAAGCTCGCAGATAGAGATAGCAGGACGCACTCAACAATGGCTTATGCCGTCCGCCCCGTGCTACTGGCAGACTCATTCGGTCAACGTGCTTCAATTTTGCGTGCAGGTCGGGCAGACGCATACAAGCAAGTCTGGAGTCTAGAGCTACCGGGCATTTGTTTTCTAAGGAACGGTGATCTGAGTGACGGAACAATCCGTCACCACTGTGTCTATGGCTGCTGCCGCAACCAGGCAGAGACAGCAGCATATTTCAAGACGTACGTGGTTTGGGCTTTGCTGCCGGCCAAGATCCCTGTGTATAGCCGCAAATCCTGGGTGGGATATGACTCCGCCATAGATGCCATCGCCCTGTTAGAATGCCACCACGGTCTCTTCAGCCGCTGTATGGAGAAGTTTGTGGGTTCCCCAACGAATCTGCCAAAAGCTGACGATGACGAGGCACGAGGCCCGGTGCCGCAGGGCTGGGCGGCAGCGTTGGAAGCCGAGGTGCACGTGGCCCCTGTTTCCTCCGCCGGCTCTGCTGCGGAACCCCAAGCAGACGTGCAGCATGCTGCTGCAGAGGACGGAGAAGGCCCAGACCGACAGCAGTGGGCAGAGTTCAATCGGAAGAAGAAGCAAGATGTACGCTCCTGGTACGGCACGAGACCTGGGAATCGCTTGCTTTTGCTGAAGGAAATGCTATCTGTCATGCTCGGGCTGATGCGGCATTTCTTGACACTGGGCAGCAGGCGTTGGGAGGAGGCACAGTTGCTGCAGGTTGCCCGGAACGAGGACCGCGACTACATCATGTTGTCTGCCGCCCGAGGTGCAGAAGTTCAAGCGGCCATGCAAGCTTTGAAAGACCTTCTCCACAAGCCCATGCGAGCGATCCCAACTGGAGAGGTGACTGCAGCGTTGGCTTCCCTGCGCTTCCGCTTGGGCTCAGCTGCAATGTCTGCTATGCATGTCTTGATTCGCACGCCTCGCCAGAACCTGCCGTACTGCATGTTCGGTGTGTTGCAGAAGGATGCTGCAGGTCGACAGGAAGCTCTCCGGAAGCTCACGGCATTTCCGCCCTGCATGCATGACAGTCTCTTCTCGCTCCTGCGGCAGCACTTCCCCAGCGATGCGGACTTGGAGAGCAGCGACTTTGAAGCTGTTCTGACTGCGCTGGCGGCCGCTTACTGCGTGGACATAAGCACCATCGAGTCACGACATGCCAGTTCTCGAGAATTCACGCTCTTGAGAAGCAGAGGTTGGGTGCCAAATCTGGAAGCTGTTGGATCCAAATTTGCAACGCAGCGCTATGCCAATGCGCCACCGGCCAGTGCACCACCGGAGAAGACTGCAGAGAAACCAAAGCAACCGCGCGGCGGCGGCGGTCCGTGGCGAGCATTCGTTTCAGACCAGTCTGCCGGCCGCCAGTTCTCCAGCACCACTGCCTTGTCGGAGGAGTACCGTGCACTCGCTGATCACGAAAAGCAGCGATACAAAGACGCAGGAGCAGCCGGAACAGCAGCTCACCAAGCTGGGTTTCCCTCGTTTGGGGACTCACGGCGCCGACAGCAACGCCAACGCCTCCGTAGCTTGCCTCCGCCAGCTCGGGCGGGGGAGATTCTGCCAGGAGGGGCTATCGTTCTGCCGGACGTGGAACGTCCCAACCAGGTCGTGCCCTACAACGGTCCGAGTTTCGAGGAGGAGCTGGAGCAGCACATTGCGCAGATCACTGCTCCCGGTCTCCTCGGCAACGATGGTCTCAACGAGGCGGAAGTCTTGGAGATAGAAAGCTTTCAGCAAGATCTTCCAGCTGGCACTCCTCTCCTTGCGGTGTTTGAGGGACAGAACGCTCTGCAGCAAAGTTTTTCCAGGGATACCTTTTCAAGGACGCAGTCTCGCGGACTGTCCGAGCGTGGTGTCAGCATCACGGGATTGACATGGACACCCCCGACAGCACGCTTGGTGGAGGCTCTGGTTGTGTAGCGGCACAGCGATAATCGATAATCACTGTTTCCTGTTTTTATTGTTCTTGCTAGATTTCTTCAGAAGCTTTCCTGGTCCTGGTCCCTGTATCTCCTCTCTTCGCAGTCTTAGCCTTAGCCTTAGCAGTCGCAGGCCAGTAGCAGAACCAAACGGTATTCGGTTGCAGGACCTTACGTAGGAGCTATGTTGTGTATTCCGAAAAGCTATACTCTCCGTGTGCACGGTTGCTTTGCCAGTGGCAGACAACGGTTCCCTGTCCTCCCGTGCCGCCAACGCCTTGAGACGCGTAGCAGACATGTGATGTGTAAACAGTTCTTCGTATGGAGCAGACACCTTGCAGACCCCAATACTTTCGGATGTTATCCCTGCTCATACACCCGGTCTTAAGTTTATAACACACATGTACCCAACCACTCAGTCAGCTGCTTCTGTATGCAGGCAAGCTTGGGCAAGGGGAACTTGAGCACGAGGCGCAAGCTTGGGACCAACCAGCAGCTTGCGGAGCAATGGAAGAAGCGGTGTAGCATTTACCTGCATGACATGCAGCCGCCCATAGACCCACGTGCGGTGCGTATGCATCGCAAATCTGTGTGCTTGCAAGCTGGCATATGTGTGTGCCAGTCCGGCAATGCAGAGAAAGGTCCTCAATCCTGGCAGCTTTGCGCAAGGCTTCGCAAGAAGCTCAAGCAGCTATGCCCGAAGGGCAGCCACAGGCGCGGGCTTCTGGATCAACGTCGGCTGGTGTTGGCTTGGTCTTCCGCTGAGAAGGAAGAAGTATTGTTTTTTCACATTGCTTACATCAATCTCACAACCTGGCACTTCGCAGGGCAGCAGCTGCACGAAGCATCTGAGTTGGCTGATGCGCAGCCTTTCCAACGCCAGGGTGTCTTGCAGTTGGCCAGCCAGACAGCGCGGCAGTGTGGCTCCGCAATGGATGTGTTCTCGGATGTGCAGTTTATTCAGGCTAAGCTGGATTTTGATGAAGCTTGGCGGGTGCAGCTGCACGAGATTTCCGAGTTGGACCAGGATTGGCTCAGTCACGATCTTTTTCCTTACGCAGTGCCCGTGCGTCTGTTACGCGACGTGCCTCTCTTTGGCGTCTGGAGCGGTGGCGATGATCCAGCACGGAGGCAAGCTCCAGCCGCGAAGCCGCATGCACGTGACCGCGCAGCTGCATCAGCTCAGGCTCCTGCTCTGGACTCTTCTGAAGTGGCTGCCGACGTCCAAGAGGAGCCACAGGAACCGCTGTACGAGGAAGAGGCGGGCGAGAGTTCCTCATCGCAGGGCTCCGAATTCTTGAACGAGCTGGAGGAGGTTGCAGAGGGCGATGAGTGGCAAGATGTTGAAGAAGCTTTGAATCCCGAGGCTGCGCAGCCTGCGGAGGCTGAAGAGCCCGAGCCGGCTGAACCCCCGGAAGCTGCAGCACCTCGTTCTCGTGCTCCCCCTGCGTCTGATCCAATAGCCGGAGAACAGTTCGATGTGCCAGGGCTGGGGTCTGTGCGGTATTTCCCACATGCGAACAGACTGACGGCTGTATGCAGGAGGCACCCGGACTGTCGTATCACGAGGTCCACATTATCAAGCGATTTCCAGACAAGGAATTTTCGAGGCCAGGGCAGACCTATTGGTCGTCTTGTCAGCTGGCTCCAAAAGCAGAATGAAGCAGAGTTCTCTGATGCGCGAAAACACATCCATGACTGTGTCCCCAGCTTGGAGGAGCGGCAGGCTGCCAGAGAATACTTTCTGGGTTTGCCAAACGGCGGAGCCTTTGCGATGCGAGCCGAGCGTCGCCCTCGCGACAACGAGCCCGACGAGCCGGAGTGCATCCGGTAAGACTGCTTGAGACAAGGGGACGCTTGCCAGTGGCTGCATAAAAGCATCCCTGCAGTATCCCCGCGGCTTTGGTAGCTAGCCGTGACTGGTGATGCCTGCTCTAGTACGTAACTCTGGTAGAGTGTTGCTAGCTCTGTGCGGTTTCCTGGATTGGTGGCAGGCTCTTCATTGTCTTTTTCCGGCGGGACATATTCGAGAAGAAGGATGTCAAGGCTTTCAAGAGCTGCTTGGAAGCTACCCGGCCCAGGGTAGGGGGGGTCAGCCTGGAGATTTATGTTTGGTAGTTTGGCAGGCGTCCAAGTTTGGTTGAGGAGACTATACCCTCGGAATAGCTTTTGAGTAGCGTCGCGACTCGTGGCAAGTGTGAGTTTTACGAGCCCTTGGATTTCCGCTTTGTCCGGCGTTGTATGATATCTAATGCAGGAGCAAGGGAGCTGTTTCCTAGTACCGGGTCCTGCAGCGTGATTCGCACTGTTGTGTAGGCCCCTTCTAGGCCGCAAAATTCTGTGTAGCAAGGCTCCACAAAGGCAAGGACCCCGCATGAGGATAAGCGTTGGCACTAGGCAATGCCATGCACCAGGGAGTTAGACGTAGAGTTAGCTGCTGGAGTCCAGTGTCACGTTTAGGCGCAAGCCCCACAGACCCTTCATACTGCATCCTCATGATGTTTCATCGCTCGCCCAGGGCCTTCTGGAGAAACTACAGCGGCAACAGCCTGTTGAGTTGCGGGAGCTGATGTTGCCGGACCAGAGCCCGACCTACTTGCAGCACCTGGAGGCTGTGTCTGCCACGTTTCGGGGCAAGGACTGCGTAGTAGCATGTAACACCGGCGGTGACCACCTCATTGCATAGAAGTTACTTGACATAGGAATCTTTCGCGTAGATGGCGTAGATGAGAACACACTCGTCCGTAGTGCAATGGAACAAAGAGGAAGCCAGCGCCATGAAGCCCGGAGCGTAGGGCGTAGAGGCATGTCTGGATTGCATGAACCCAAACCTGTACAGAATCAGCCAGAGAGTCTGACTGCACACGTCAGGAGTGCCTGCCAAAACAAAGCAGTTGAGACAGGGTAGTGTTGTGTGTCTGTTGACGTACTTCGTAAACAGTCATAACCAGCTTTGACAATTGAACCAGGAGTCAGTTTGTTCAGGTCCAGTTTTCTGCGTCAGAGACAACTAGGAGTTTCGTTGCCGCGACCTTAATAAGGCTCCTTCCTTCCATGGAGTGATTATTTAGACGTCACGTAGCCTAGCCTAGCCGCGGCAGTGTCGGGGTAGGTGTGGGGCGGGTGGGGTGGTGAAAGCCAGTCTCAGACTCCGCGCGCGCACGCACGATGGAGGCGTGGAGGGCATTGAAATTGAGTAGGTCTGAACAGGTCAGGGTTTGAAAGGGCGGGCAGGGGGGGGGTGTGGGGATCGGGGGGGGGGGGGGGGCTGGGGGGGGGGGGGGACAGGGGGATGCAAAGGCTGACGCAAACACGCAACGGACCCAAAAAGGGAAGGCAAAAGAAATGCAAAGACGGATGCAAAAAAAATACAAAAAAAATGCAAAAAAAATGCAAGCAAAATGCAAAAAAAATGCAAAAAAAATGCAAAAACACAGTGTGTTTTTGCATTTTTCACTCCGGGATGCCTGGCAGGCCTGGAGGCCAGGATTTTGCATTTTCTTTGCATTTTTTTTGCCTCCGTCTTTGCATTTCTTCTGCCTTCCCTTTTCCGGTCCGTTGCGTGTTTGCGTCAGGCTTTGCATCTTTCCATCCCTCTTTTCTCGTGGTCGGAGGGATTTTTCCTTTTTTCTTGCGGAAAGGGAAAAGGTTTGGCAGGTTTGGAGTGTGGCGACGCCCCACAAAACCGGCTGATGCACATCTTGCTCGTCTCACATGCCCCTACCACAAAAAAAAAGCACGCGTCCGCGGGGTGGTAAGCACACCCACTCATGCTCATGATGCTGGCCCCCTTCCCTCCTCTCCCTCCCCTCTCGAGTCTCCCGCCTCTCCCCATGCCTCCTTGCCTTTCCTGCCCGTCGCGCATTTTGCCAAACCACAGTGGTCCTCGCAGGACACAGCGGAGCCGAGAACGGGAAAGGTGCCACAGTGGGCAGTGGAAGCAGAGGCTTGGAGGAAGCAGCTCGGTGCACCCAAGGATTTTTGTCCTTGGTCGTCCTTGCCTGTGGAGTATAGAGGTCTTCATGCGACGCCTCGTGTTCGAGAGATTTTGGACCTTGTGGCCCTAGCAAAGCTTGGCGTGGCTCAGTGTCGCAGTTTGCTGTCCTTGCCGCCTCACCAAGCTGCAAATCTACTCTCTGATTGTTTGCGAGACGTGTACGTTGACATTTCACAGAACCCTGCTCGCAGACCCTACACGACAGACAGGAGCAGCCATTGCCTTACAACTGCCTCGAGGATCTACTCCTTCGGCAGACAAGGACTGGTCCTACCGCTGGAATTGCTGTACTGGCAAGGTCACTCGCGCGGTGTAAGATTGCCGAGCGACATGAGCCAGCATCGGCTGCGTGACATGGCCGGTGAGGGGATCTGTTTGCCTGTGTTAGGCACTGTTTTCACAGCTTTGTTTCAGACTTCTGCTTTCCCTGACGTAATTCGTCCCGCTGTGGATGCTTGACTGCAGCTGCAGGGTCTCTGGTGCCCTGTGTGGCATGAATCAGTTGCAGTGTGAGGGTCCATGTTATTCATACTATGGGAATGACTAGTGGCAGTATGAGGTTCTTTCCTCTTTTGGGGGGTTAACTGGGGACGCAGGAGAAAGAAGATTCAGGGGTCCCAGTTCTTCTAAGTCTTAGGCCCTAGGCAAGGTAGGTGAGCTTCTGGCCCGGAATCGACTTCTCTGATCCTGCAGTATCCCAGTGGTCACGGCTGTTCATTGCACTGATCGTACTGCTGCAAAGCTTCCACGTGTGCAGTGTGTAGAGCTTTTTCTCTATGGTGGCATAGCTGGATAAGAAAGTATCTAAAAGGGTTGTTCCGAGCGGGCAAAGGTGGTGCGATCTCAGTAGACGGAGTAGTGTGGTTTGATGACCACGCTTCTTGTGCGATGTGTGCTTTTGCCTCTGTGTTGCAGAACTCTGGGGTGTACTAGGGCCTGGGGCAGTGTCTTAGCAAGTAGTTTAGGGTTCTGTTCCGCGCAGAGTACTATAGCAGACAGCGTTC